AATTTTAAAAAATTAAATTTCTATTTCATTTGGGCTATACAAAAATTAATAGAATTAATTTTAATTGAACGTTAAATCATTTCAGTGGCATTTTCATTTATATTCGCTTATGAGCTTTTTATGTTAACAAAATGAGTTCTGCTCCTTGAACTGCTTAAAATGGAGATGATAGTGTTTGTTTCAAATTAGACTTCAGGGCTTTGGGATGGGGAGTGGGAAACAAAATAACACATTTAAGGGACACAGAATATTTTATTCCCTGCTCTAAAAATTCCATATAACATGAGAACTTGGTAAGAGTTTTTTTTCCCCACTGGATAACTAGAGGAAATAAAAGGTAAACAGATTTAAATACTAATGAGACAATTTTTTTACTGCTTTGATCTGCAGGACTTCTAAAATTTTTTTGTTTGTTTGTTTTGTTGTCAATAATTTTCTGCCATCATATTACCATTTGACAGCAGTTTTGACCTACGTGTGAAGGTCATTTCAGAAACATGTTTTGTATTTTTGTGGATCCTCTTTCCTGTCTGGTTGATACTATTAATCTCCTCCACTTCCTTTTCCTCTCACCTCCCCCAGCAATTTGAGACCATCAGGTTCTGTGGCGACAGGAAGAAACTGTCATCTGAGGAAGAATGTAGTTTTACCATCCAATTCTCTTACTCAGTAATTATCTTCAGATAAATGAATAGATGATCCGTTGTGAAATCTTTCTTTAATGCTTTATGAGCCAGGGGAATTGAGACTTGGATGTTTAGATGGCGGCACCGAGGAAGGTCTGTAGTGAAAGTGCTGCGTTGCCCTCATGTGTTGTATTGATAACTTCTGCATGTCTCTGGTGAGGCTTTCTGGGCAGAGAGGGCACCAGGCTAACAGTTGGGTTACATGACTCCTGCACATGGAAATGTGTAGTCATTTTAGTCAACATACTTGAGAAAGAGCCTAAAGAAAAGGGTTTAATTGTATTGCATTCCTTCTGAAGAGCTCTTTACCCGGCTCATGTGTGATGTGGCCTCATGTGTGATGTGGCCGTGAATCTGACATTTGCCCCTGGCCCTTCCCTTTCCCCTCTTGAAATCAGACCTTAGTTGGGATCCTCCCAGCCAGGAATGAGGAAGTGTCTGGAAGCCGAGATGGATCCGCACCTCCCCCCTTCAGTGTGCGTCCAGCATGCCCTGTAATTATCAGTGGCTGTGTGGCCCCCAGGGGCCGCGTCTTCTCCACCCTGGCCTCCAGGTGTCTGGTCTGTAATAAGTGCTCAATGAATGTGCATTTTTGAACAAATCGATTGTGAAGGAGACGGACTCTGCTAATAAACGAAGTGAATGAAGAGACCTGCTAGTTTGACGGCTGGTTGTCTACTCTCCCAGGAAATGCTCACTGGCGTGGTGGTCATCTCTGGGAAGGACTCGACCCAGCACCAGGGCGTCACTTTGACGGTGGAGGGCACCGTGAACCTCCAGCTCAGCGCCAAGAGCGTGGGTGTGTTCGAAGCTTTCTATAACTCAGTGAAGGTAAGAATGCTTAGGTGGCACATCTTTAGTTCATTATTCAGATGGGGGTGGCGGTGGTGGTAACTTCTGCTGGGCTTTATTATTATTGTTGTCGTTATTTTGCAAGGTATATCATGTTTTTTGTACTTAATAATCAAACTGAGAAAATAGATGTGTCGATTCTGAATAGCTCCTGTTATTGAAAGCCTGCGTGTCTTTATTCCTGCGAGACAGGGTTAGGAGAACTGTAAGTGGACTAATTTCAGCCGTTCAGAGCCCTTCTGAGACGGCGTGCCTGTGGCTTCTGGCACTCGCCTTCCTGAAACAGAACCATCACCGTAACTGTGCACGTGGCTGCTGTTGGGTTTGTCATTCAGGGAGGAGGCTGGTAGAGCAGTGGCCGTGCTTTTTGTCATTTAGCGTAGAGTTCTGTGTTCAGAAGGTAAGCGCTTTTTTTATATTTACAGTTTCCTTTTCCTGAAGAACGTATGAAGTCCTGTTTGAGGGGCAAGGAGTTATGAGTAAAGAAGGGTTATCATTAACAGAATTCACACTAATTGTTTCCTACAGTTTTTTATTTTCTTTCAATAGTTCTTAGAGATTCTCTTCAAAAGTTGTAGATTTCCTCAGAATGATTCTAATTCTAAACCAAGGCTTAGAACACCGTAACTGATGAAGGTGTCATACCTGCCTTTTGGGCAGGTGCCAAATGCGGAGGAAAGGTCCCATGTGGACGGAGGCTGGTGTGCCATCCGAGCCGGGTGGCGCGGCGCCCATCGGAGCCCAGGCTGGGCGAGGCGGGGGAGGAGCCCTGCCCCTGGGTCCTGTGCCGCGTCTGCTGCTCCATCCTAAGACGGGAGCCTGCGGGATGGCTGTCAGGACAGTTAGCCAGGACAGCGGTTCACTTCCTCCCATGTACCAAACACCCAAGTGTCCAGTGCTGTAAACAAGCCGTTATTGTGCCACAGAAGTGAACCGACTCTGCTCCTCTCCGGATGCGGCGCTGTGCTGCCCTGGACACCAGGATGGTGGCGTCCAGGGGCGCGTGCCTTCAGGGGATGAGGAAGAGCCCCCATGACTGGAAGGTGCGTCAGAACGTGCGTGTGGGTGGACTGAGTGCGCTTCTCCTTACAGCCCATCCAGATTATCAACAGCACCATCGAAATGGTGAAGCCAGGAAAGTTCCCCAGTGGCAAGACAGAAATTCCCTTTGAGTTTCCTCTGCACGTGAAGGGGAACAAGGTTCTGTACGAGACGTACCACGGCGTGTTTGTCAACATTCAGGTGAGTTTCCGAGCCCTGCGCAGTGGGCTTCCTGACTGACTTCTGGGAGACAGCGTGGTCTTTCTGCCACTGAAAGTTAATAGATGGCCCTAAGAATTGACTACTGCATCTATTGCTGAGCTCTCCCATGTACATTCTATACAGATTTCTCGTTTTGCCCCGAGGGACACATTTTACCTCTGACCACTGTTTTTGGTCGGAATCCTGGAGGACCCACGTTGTAACTTCTTAAACGTGCCTTTGTTTCTTCTGGGCTCTGTTCAGGCCACACTGATGCTGTGAAGGGTGCTCTTATTGTTTGTAATAGATAGGCCCTCACTTCTCTCTGGCAACCACACTAACTTGCCAGTTTTATACGTATAAGTATCTCTTTGTTTAATACCCGAAGGCTACTACTTTAACATAGACTTGTATTCTTTATTGAACAAACCTTGTAAATGAGGGGGAAGTGAATTTATGACTTCCTGTCTACCTCTGTAGTTCAGGATGTCTTTCACAGTTTGCAGTGTTGTCTCAGGCGCAGCTAGGAGTCCTGACTCTCAGTGAGAGAGCGAGCCTTTCTTTTATTCAGCGGGAAGAAAGGTACCTTTGTGATGACCAGTCTTGCAGTGGTTCCTCTGGCTAAATGAGACAAAACGATTTTGTCTTACGTATGTGCAAGAGGGTTGAAAGCTAGAAATTTTTTTGATTTACTAATTAAGTTTTAGCTGATCATTTTATTTGGTCCTGGTGGAGACCATTCCCCTGCTTAAAATATAGCAGTTTTAAAGTAAAAATCCTCAAAACACTTGTTAAAGTTTAACCAAAGTTTCCGTGAGTTTTATGAATTGCCTGAAAAGATCTGTGAAGAAGAAACACATGTAGTATGATGTCTTCGCTTACAATATATTATCTTTCTGTGAAGAAAAAACATTCCTTGGCCTTTTTTATTGATGCACCTGTTTCAGGCAACATGTAGACAAAAGGCTTTGGAAAACCCCTAGGAAGTAACAGTAATGACTGAATAAACATCTAGATTCAAAGATGCTGCTTGCGTGGCCATACAGATGGCCGGTGTGTAGACATGAGTCCTCCAACCAGCTTTCTGGTTTGGAAATTTTTTCACCATGAAAGAAGGTAAATGAAAGATGGCTTTCTAACAAGACTGACAGTACCTCGAACATTTCATTTTAAAAATTATTTTTATTTTTCCAGAATTGGCGTCATCTTGCTTTATGCACACAACAGTTCTTTAGTACTGCTTATTTAATAATGTCAGCATATGTTCATGAGAAACTGAATAGAATAATATCAGATTTTCAGTGGTCATACTTCTTGTCACTTTCTCCTGACAGTGACTGACAGGAGAAAGATTAATTTGTGTAAAATAAAATTGGATATTTTATCCTTTTCCAAATATTGCCAAGACAGACACACAAATACACATACAAAACTGTGTACTTGTGTTCCTGCGTAGCTGTGTATAAATAAGAAAGTAGTTAAATGCAAAAGGAGAGTTAACAGGGCTGGCCGAGTCGTGCGTTGGTTAAGAGTTGGCTTGGGATGCCAGCTCTGAGCAGCAGGGCCCCCGTTCGGATCCCACATGAGGGCCAGTGATGCTGCGCCCTCTACAGCTAAGATAGTGAACAACAGCTCGACCTGGAGCTGGGCTGCTGTGAGTCGNTTTTTTTTTTAATTGAAGAAGGCACAAAACTGGAAAGGCATTTTGTGTTCATGGATTGGAAGAATCAACATACTTATAATGGACTTATACCAAAAGCAATATATAGTTTAATGCAATCCCCATCAAAATCCCAATGGCATTTTTTAAAGAAATAGAACCAAAAAAATCATCAGATTTGTATGGAATCACAAAAGACCCCGAACAGCCAAAGCAATGCTAAGAAAAAAGAACAAGGCTGGAAGAACAAGGCTGGAGGTATTACACTCCCTGCCTTCAGCTTGTACTACAAAGTGACAATAATCAAAACAGCATGGTATTGGCAGGAAAACAGACACACAGACCAGTGGAATAGAATTGAAAACCCAGAAATAAATCCACATAAATAGTGGCAGATAATTTTCGACAAAGAATCCAAAAACATATAATGGAGAAAAGAAAGCCTCTTCAATAAATGGTGCTGGGAAAATTGGAAAGCCATACAAAAGAAAGAAATTAGACAGCTGTCTGTCACCATATACCAAAATTAACTCTAAATGGATCAAAGACCTAAACATAAGACCTGAAACAATAAACTGCATAGAAGAAAGCATAGGTACTAAACTTACGGGCCTTGGGCTCAAAGAGGATTTTATGAATTTGATGTCAAAGGCAAGGGAATTAAAAGCTAAAATAAATGAATGCGACTATATCAAACTAAAAAGCTTCTTCACAGCAAGGATACCGTCAACAAAACAAAGAAGCAACCAACCGAATGGGAGAAGATATTTGCAAATAATGCCTCCAATAAGGGGCTAATATCCAAAATATATAAAGAACTCATAGAACTCAACAGCAAAAAAAACAAACAATCCAATTAAAAAATGGGCAGAGGAACTGAACAGCTGAACAGACACTTCTCCCAAGAAGACATACAAATAGCCAACAGATAATATGAAAAAATGCCCAACTTCACTCGTTATATTAGAGAAATGCAAATGAAAACCACAATGAGATATCACCTCACACCTGAGAGTGGCTATCATCAAAAGACAATAACAAGTGTGGAGAGGCTGTGGAGAAAAAGGAACCCTCATACACTGTTGGTGGGATTGCAGATTGGTGTAGCCGCTATGGGAAACAGTATGCAGGCTCCTCAAAAAATTACAAATAGAATTACCATACAACCCAGCAATCCCTCTCCTGGGTATCTACCTAAAAAAAATCTGAAAACATTTATCCATAAAGATATATGTACTTGGATGTTCATTCCAGCATTATTTGCGGTGGCCAAGACATGGAAACAACCAAAGTGTCCTTCGATAGATGATTAGATAAAGAAGATGTGGTGTATATACACAATGGAATGCTATTATGCCATAAGAAAATATGAAATAGTGCTATTTGTGACAACATGGATGGATCTTGAGATTGTTATGCTAAGCGAAATAAGTCAGGAAAAGACGAGAACCATGTGACTTCACTCTTATGTCCGATATAAAACTGAAAGCAACAAAGGAACAAGATAAATTAAGAAACAAAAACTCATAGACATAGACAACAGTTTAGTGTTTACCAGAGGGTAAGGGGGGAGGGGCGATAGTAGAAGAGGGTAAAGGGGGTCAAATATAGAGGGTGCCAAAAAAAATGT